TAAGTGCCCCAGCTTACTAATGACCAAACCTAAGTTAGGCTGGACCTTCCCGGGATCCGGCGTACGCTTCACCTTGGTGGCCCTTCCAGTGCCAGCGTCAAACCAAGGAAACCTAGAACCAAAAAAACCTCCGTTTCGGACTCCCTGAAAGAAACAGCCACCTCCATCAAAACTACACTGTCCAAAAACACTTAAGACACACGCGCAGATCACCGATTAACTCCGACGACTTAAACACATCATTTCGTCCGACTCTTCAGACGAACTAGCCAATATCTGGGATTTGGCCCACTAGAAGGAACCACGACCAAACCAAAAACCCTTCAGCTGCGTTCCACGTCCCGAAACGTCTGGCATTTAAATCCATAACTTACGTTTCGACGTTCACAGACGTCCGGCTGTAAGCCTAATTTCTACATGGACAACCGCTTTGGATGCACTCAGATGGTATGATTCGAAAGAATTATTACCTCATGATTTGTACTTCTCAAGTTCAATGGAGGGAGTTGATGTTTCCATCAGGAGCGATGCTTTTCTCAACATCAGTGTTCGTATTGCTCAGTTTGAAGGAGAACGAGAAACGACAGCGCGATGACGTTTGCACTGGTCTGTTGTGAAACGAACCCTCTGACGATGTTGCAACCCTGTTGCATTTCCTTGCAGCAAGTGAATGGGAGTCTAAATATAAATGCGTGACCTCACAGTCACAATGCACCGCCCGTCGACCAGACGTGCGTTGACAGACGCGGAACAAATCCTGATGACACTGGTCTGTTGTGAAACGAACCCTCTATCTGACGATGTTTTGCTACCCTGCTGCATTTCCTTGCAGCAAGTGAATGGGAGTCTAAATATAAATGCGTGACCTCACAGTCACAATGCACCGCCCGTCGACCAGACGTGCGTTGACAGACGCGGAGCAAATCCTGATGATAGATGAAGTTTTAGAAGATGAAACTTCGAGTGAAATGTCTTCTGAGTCTGAAAGTGTAGTAGACATTGACTGCACTCAGTTGGTGAACATAACTGAACGTAACAATTCAGATAGTGACAGTGACAATGGTAGTGGCAGACATCCACTGTTCCCAGGGTCACGTAACATCGGGGACGCCCCCGCAAGTAAGGCAGACCCGGTCTCTGTGCGGGCTCCTTCCGACCGGATCCGGATAGACGAGGACTTCTGTCCAAATCTCCCGGAAAACCAAAAAGCTTTTGGCGAAGGGAGTCTCTCCTTCGGTGTCGCTCGAGGCCATTAACACGTCATTGCCTCCC